TCTCGCCCGCCCGCCTCGCGGCCGCCTTTAAGTAGACTCTGCTTGCGTCACGGCCAGGTTGGAGGGGAGCCGCCACCAAGCGGCAGCGCCGCAGCCGGCCAGGGATCGCCGCCGCCACCGCCGCCGGTGCACCCAGGGCTGCCGGGTGAAGGGGGCGGCCAAGGCAGCATCCAGACTGGCCCGGTCGCCTGATACACGCCTACACACACACAGGGACACGCACACGCGCACACCCCGGGCGACGTCCTTCCTCGGCGGCTGGGGAAGAGGGGAGAGCAAGCGGAGGAAGGAAGGCGCCCCCCCCACAAGATGCCAGCCCTGGCGTGCAGGCAGGTAATGAGGAGATCGGACGGGACCTGGCCCCTCGGGAGACCGGGGTTTAAGGGCGGGAGGGCACCCTGCCCCCTCCCATCCCACCTGGCCTGGCATCGCTCCCGGCTCCGGGCTCTGCCTGCCTTCCCTCCGCGCAGCTTCTCCAGGACGTGGCCTGCGCCGCGTCCTTGAGAAGGGAAGGGCCCGCGGGAGAAGGGGAGGGAAACTGTCGCCGTGCGGCATCCTGCCTCCTAGGAAAGGCTGCGTGGGTGCCTGGCTGCCTGGGTGCGTGGGTGAGCGGCGGAACTCCCGGCAGTGGATCTGACCCCTATCGGCCCCTCCCCGAAAAGGAATCATCCGCCCAGGCCTTTCCCTTCCCTGCAAGAAGGGCGGGGAAGCGGGGGGGGGGAACACGAGGAAGGTCGCTGTTGATTGCCACACACGAGTCCGTGCCATTCCACCCTTGCCTTCCCACCGAGCCGGACGTGACTTGGCAGCACCTGCCGACCCCCTTCCACGCTTTTCACCCGCGATCGATGCCTGCCTTTCAGAAGGTGTCTCTCCCTTGAAATGCTGAAAGAGACGTGGCCTTACTGGCTGGGACTCCCTCTGCCTTTACTGATGGTGCAGTCATGAGACGGCGGATGGCTCCTAAGAGACCATCCAGGGCAATGGGAAGAGGTGGGGCCAGCAGGAAATCCTGTCCACTAGGAGTTCTAGGTGAAAAATGAGAGGAGCTCTCCAAGGTGCTGGACCCAATCCTACCAAAGAGTCTCCCTGACTTCGAGAGCTCCCGGAAAGTTCAGGTGAAATTCATAGGACATTCAGCTCCTCCATGAAATTGGACTCACAAGCTCCCATTGATTCATGGCAACTGAGTGCCAGGGGAACTTCGCACTGTGGGCCAACTGGAGCTTGGGGAAAGTTGCGCTCTCTCTCTCTCTCTCTCTCTCTCTCTCTCTCTAACTATAAAGCTCAAGAATCTTTGGAAAACACGACTATTGGAAGAACTGCTTTTGGACCACAACTTCCAGAATCCCCTGTCACCAGTCTTGGAGGCTTCTGTAGGCAGAGTGCCAACAGACCACTAATCTTTGGCCTCAGGCAGTAATATGCGGAGCTTGGGGGAGTTAGAATTCTGGGATGTGTAATTTTTTAAAAAGTCAGCTTTTCCCAGTTCATTTTGGGTTAGCCCTGGAGGACCCACATGAAACTGGTCACTGACCATCTGCAGCTGATCTGCAGCAGGCCCTAAGAAATGTGGACTGCACTATGTGGATGTCCATAATTTTTCCTGTGCCACCATTAGAATGTGCAACCTTTATACTGCACATAGTGCTTAAAGCATTCTCTGGGTGGTTTTCAATTTAATTATTCAGGCTACACAGGGAGTTGGGTATTCAATTTACCAAACTCAGAAGGACAGAATGCTACCTGAGCCCATCCAAATCGAACTCAGGTTGTGAGCAGAGGCTTCACAGCAGTACTGCAGTTTAGACATTTTAGCAACAAGAACCCTGTTGCCTCTGTACAAGTATATGGCACTTGGAATAATGAATCACCCAATTAGTACTTACTCAGTGGGCTTCTCATTTCACTTCCCACTGCTGCGTAGTCCAGAAGGAGATGAGAAGATCAGACTGCCCTTTCCTTTTTCTCTTGGCTTATATCTTTGGGCCACATCGCTGGAAGGATGGGGCCAGGGCCATGTGTATGTATGTGTGAAAGAGAAAGAGATGTTCTGTTGCCTGTTTGTGTGCCCAGAGAACTGCACTCCACAGGCCACTCCAGAATAAGCAAAAGAGGGAAGCTCTGGCTGCTCCTTGTACTTTCTCATGCTTTGCTGCTGTTTTTTTGTTTGTTTGTTTGTTTTTGTAGCTGCCACCATCTTGTTCTGTCTCCACAGAGTAGCCATGTTAGTCTTTTGGAGCCAGACAACAGAAAAGTCATGCAATGCGTTTAAGACTAGTAAGTTTATTGCAACAAATCTATTCCTCTGAAAGGTTCCACCCAACTCAGACTCTCTGTCATTTTCTACAGTTTGCCCTTCCTGTATTTTTCTCTCTGGCTGGGACAGGGCTGTGGATGATTGAGCTCTCTGGGCCCAATCCAAACTGCCACAGCCCACCTAGAGGCCCAAGCAAGCGAAACATACAAGAGATTATGGGCAAATGCTCATTGCACAAGCAATCATCTCTGTCCACTTAGATGACTGCACTCTCTTTTGGATGGCCAAAACTGAGATGAAGATGGATGAGTCAGTGGGCAGACTAGTGGAGTCTTGTGACTTCAGTGTCCAAAAGATAGTGAGTCTACTCTGGGTTTTAAAATGTTTAAAGGCATGTTGGGTTATTGTTCAGCACTTTGGATGACTCTTGTAAAACTCAGATTCCCTGTCCCCATGACATCAGTCACCCACTTCCCGTGGAGAAAGTCAGGAGCTCATACACTTGTTCCCTCTGAGCAGTACAAGGCCTGTGGTTATGGGGTGGAATTTAACCAGATACCTCTTCCAACTCACTCATCCTCTTTCTTTGTGCTCAGCAAGAAAATTTAGATTCACTGGGGACACAGTATGTTTAGTTAGATTTGATATCTGGATTTTATTATCTCACAAGGATTCTCTTTACACTGTAGTGTACATTGTTTCACTATATGATAGCATGTATAGACAGCGGTGTTCATTCTTTTAACATATAGTCAGCCGGTTCTGCTACATAGAAGGTGTTCTCTTCATTTGGCTACGTGGATCAGTGAAGTTCTCACATAAATAAAGTCTGAACTCATGACCTCGGGTGAGAGTCAGGGAAGGACTCTACCAAAAGCATACTGCCAAAGGTCATCCATATCCTGACATTTCATCAGGTCTAATGTGAGGTCAATGAGCAGCTCCTGATAAAAAAATTTTTTTACTCATAATTATTTACTATTTACTCAATTTACACCACACAGTATAAATAAGAGTTCAAGGCGGCTAATTTACACAAAAATGGTTAATGTTGCATTTTTAAGTGTATGTTTTAAAATATGCATAAATGTATGTTTTGAAGTGTGCAAAGAGTGAATCCTGTAAATTCATATTTGCAACTAGTTGTACAACATACAGTTGTGCTGGTCTGGGAGCTGTACTAGATTGCAGCTGTCTGTTGAATGGACTTTCACTGGCAAACCTGAGATTGTCTCTGGGCAATGTGTGAATTAGGCCACAGAATGATTACTCAAGGAGATGATTCACAGCTCAGGCTAGTGCTCTCCTAACAGACATGTAGTTCTGGCAATAGGAGGGGTAACAGTCTGGGGTGAGGCTGCCAGCAGCATGCAGTAGAAGGCAAATGAGGCTCATCTGTGCAGTATGATCTCTTGCAGGGCTGAACTATATATTACAGGTAACCTGTCATTACAGCTGAGATCACATTAGTGTTCCAGAGATGTGATTCAGGCAGGCTTTCATTTATCAGAAATCAGACTAGCAAATGAAGCCATGCTTAGTTCCTGGCACAAAACAAAACAACCTAATTATTAGTGTTCCAGAGATGTGATTCAGGCAGGCTTTCATTTATCAGAAATCAGACTAGCAAATGAAGCCATGCTTAGTTCCTGGCACAAATTTACAAACTACAGGAAGAGAGAAAAGCTCCTGTTGTGACATTCAGATGCTTTTAGCAGTTAAGGAATTCCCTCTTCTGATGACAATTTGCCTATAATTTATAGTTTGGTCAATATATTATTGTCAGATTCATTAGATGTGCATCTCATGGCAATCTAATTTTATAGCTTTGGATTTTAATGTGATATACCAACTATATAGGCAAACCCAGTTCCATTGACATACCTGTGTAAGTATCTCACAGAGAAAGCTTATTGTCAGTTTATTTCCTCTTCAAATCAAAGAATGTAACTGAAATTCTTCTGATGGCCAATAAATGTCTATCAAGCAAAAACAAAGGAAAAAGAAAAAATAAAGACGAAAACATAACACCTTAAAGACTAACAGTTATATTTTCATGTGCAGCTTTCATGAACTTAAAGACTAACAGCTATATTTTCATGTGCAGCTTTCATGGGCAAAAATATCCTCAGACAAAGACATCATTGCCTGTAACATAGACATGACGGAAAATCAGAGGAAGTAGATAAGGGGCAGTGTGACATAAAATACACTTTTAAAAATAGTATCCCGGTCAGCTCTTGCAAATTAAGTATGCTAATCACAGACTGCTTGGCAACCTTTAATTTATGTGTGAAAAAAAAACAACAACAACACAGACAGCTTGGCAACCTTTAATTTATGTGTGAAAAGAAAAAAACAGAATTCCTTTAACTAGCCTTGGGAGTCAGTTTCCATGATTACACACCGTAAGTGTCAATGCTGCAGATTGCAGGTATTTAAGAAATATACAGGATGCAAACAATCAGTACAGAATAGCATCATTACAAGCTGCCTAGCATTAATTGTCAACTTGTTAAAATAGCTGAATCCCAAAGATCTCAGGTTGGTGACCTTCAACTCAATAATTATCTTAGGTAATTCTGCTGCTTGCATTGCACAGTGGGTCCGTGGCTTAGCCTACCTCACTTATAAAAGCACAAAAGGTATT